CTGTACCTCAGGGAGAGGTCTGGGCCCTGGTTTGGGTTGGGAGAAACCTCAAAATCCCATTCCATTCCTGCCCATCCCATTCCACACCTTCCATGACCCCAGGTAGAGCTTTGGGCTGAGGGGAACTTCAAAATCCCACTCCAGACCTTCGTCTACCCCAGGCAGAGGTTTGGGCTCGGAAGGACCTGAAATCCCATTCTACTCCTGCCCATCCCCATTCCACACCTTCCTGTACCCAAGGTAGAGGTTTGGGCTCTGGTTTGGGCTGGGAGGAACTTGAAATTCTGCTCATCCCTGAGCATTCTGCTCATCCCTGTCCCATTCCACACCTTCATCTACCCCAGATAGAGGTTTGGGCCAGGAGGGACTTAAAAATTCCTGCCCATCCCATTCCAGACCTTCTTGTACCCCAGGCAGAGGTTTGGGCTGGGAGAAAGCTCAAAATCCCATTCCATTCCTGCTCATCCCATTCCAGACCTTCTACTACCCCAGGCAGAGGTTTGGACTCAGAAGGACTTAAAATCCCATTCTACTCCTGCCCATCCCCATTCCACACCTTCCTGTACCCAAGGTAGAGGTTTGGGCTCTGGTTTGGGTTGGGAGGACCTAAAAATCTCATTGCACTCCCACCCATCCCATTCCACACTTTTCTCTACTCCAGACAGAAGTTTGGGCTCTGGTTTGGGCTGGGAGGAACCTCAAAATCCCATTCCATTCCTGCTCATCCCATTCCAGACCTTCATCTACCCCAGGGAGAGGTTTGGGCTCGGAAGGACTTAAAACCCCATTCTACTCCTGCCCATCCCCATTTCACACCTTCATCTACTCCAGGTATAGGTTTGGGCTGAGGGGAACTTCAAAATCCCATTCCAGACCTTCTACTACCCCAGGGAGAGGTCTGGGCTCTGGTTTGGGCTGGGAGGAACCTCAAAATCCCATTGTACTCCTACTCATCCCTGCCCCATTCCACACCTTCGTCTACCCCAGGTGGAGCTGACCCGTAGTAAACGTTCACCTTGACGTAGGGGTCTGCAAACGGAGCGGGAGAGGGCGGCCAGTGACACGGCCCAGGGGGCTCCGGCACGGCCCGGGGTGCTGGGGGGAGCTGGGTTGGGTGGGGAGGAGTTAAAATCCTATTTCACACCTTGCTGTACCTCAGGGACTTAAAAATCCCATTCCATTCCTGCCCATCACATTTCAGACTTTCATCTACCCCAGGTAGAGGTTTGGGCTCGGAAGGACTTAAAATCCCATTCTACTCCTGCCCATCCCCATTCCACACCTTTATCTACCCCAGGGAGAGGTTTGGACTGAGGGGAACTTCAAAATCCCATTCCATTCCTGCCCATCCCATTCCAGACCTTCCTGTACCTCAGGTAGAGATTTGGACTGGCAGGGACTTAAAAATCCCATTCCATTCCTGCCCATCACATTTCACACCTTCATCTACATCAGGTAGAGATTTGGGCTCTGCTTTGGGCTGGGAGGGACTTAAAATCCCATTCCATTCTTGCTCATCCCTTTCCACACCTTTGTCTGCCCCAAGCAGAGGTCTGGGCCCTGGTTTGGGCTGGGAGAAACCTCAAAATCCCATTCCATTCCTGCTCCTCCCATTCCAAACCTTCTACTACCCCAGATAGAAATCTGGGCTCTGGTTTGGGTTGGGAGGGACTTAAAGTTCCTGCCCATCCCATTCCAGACTTTCTACTACCTCAGGTAGAGATTTGGGCTGGCAGGGACTTAAAAATCCCATTCTACTCATCCCCATCCCATTCCACACCTTCCTGTACCCCAGGTAGAGCTTTGGGCTGAGGGGAACTTCAAAATCCCATTGCACACCTTCTTCTACCCCAGGCAGAGGTTTGGGCCAGGAGGGACTTAAAAATTCCTGCCCATCCCATTCCAGACCTTCTTCTACCCCAGGTAGAAATCTGGGCCCTGGTTTGGGTTGGGAGGAACCTCAAAATCCCATTCCATTCCTGCCCATCCCATTCCAGACCTTCTACTACCCCAGATAGAGGTTTGGGCTCAGAAGGACTTAAAATCCCATTCTGCTCATCCCCATCCCCATTCCACACCTTCATCTACATCAGGTAGAGATTTGGGCTGGGAGGAACCTCAAAATCCCATTCTGCCCACCCCCATCCCATTCCACACCTTTATCTACCCCAGGTAAAGGTTTGGGCTCTGCTTTGGGCTGGAAGGAACCTCAAAATCTCATTTCACACCTATCTCTACCCCAAGCAGAGGTCTGGGCCCTGGTTTGGGTTGGGAGGAACCTCAAAATCCCATTCCATTCCTGCCCATCCCATTCCACACCTTCATCTACATCAGGTAGAG